GGAGCTAAGTGATTGAATTCCTCCCCACCCCCTTTCTCCCCACCCCCAAACTCTCTCACCCGCCGCAGTCCGGTGCAAGGCCCCCTCCGGAAGGTGAGGGGAATGGATTGGACTCCGGTGGGGAAAGCGGGTGTCTAGAAGTGGTGCTAATGGGAAGAGATTTCTTGGTTCAAAAGAGGATGCTCTGCCACAAAGAGCGGCTCGCGCGCTGGCCTGGGCTCTAGCCGAGGAGAGATCCCGGGAGAACTCCGGAGCTCGGGGGGAGCGCTCCTCGGAAGACCGGGGTCAACATGCCTGTTCGCAGGGGGCATGTGGCACCACAAAACACATTTTTGGGGACCATCATACGGAAATTTGAAGGGCAAAGTAAGTTTATTTCTTCTCTTCCCTCTCCCTCGCTTTCTGCTCTGATAGTGCACTTGGCGTCCGCCGCTTACAAGCGGTGGAAACCAGCAACTCCAGGCTCTGTCAAGTTAGACACTGTGTAACCGAACCAGGAGGTTCTAATGGTAGCTGGAGTGCTCTCCCTCTGATATTAATTTTGATTTACATTTTAGATTATGGTCTCCACTATAGCAGGCAATTCGATCCCTCCTCTCTCACTGCTCTATTATCTGTCTTGTTACTTAATTCCTTACTATTTTACTACCTTAAAGGGAACGTGCTAGGATAACACTGGTTTGCATTTTGAGGTTGTTTTATTGTGGACTTTTTCAAAGTCAGGAGCAGGGCAAAGCATACTGCTGGAACAAGAGAATGTAAAGTGCAGCAGCGATGAAAATGGCTATGTAAACTCTATTTTACCTTGACAAAATTGCAGGGCTGTGGCATGGCTGGGAAGCTTGCTGGCTCTTATTTTACAGAAACTAAAGTTTACATTAAATCAATGCAAATACATCCTAAGCAGGATAATTTAGAAAAACAGTAGCTCGACAGTGCTAGTTCCCAAACAAACAGCTCATTAGTCAAAATATTTATTTTTGTCCTTTTATTATCCTCTTAAATTTTTCATCTAGAAAATTAGGAATTAAAGTGTATTAGATAAATGCCACCAAGACTAAATGCAGAGAAATTTAATGTTCTCATGTGAAATTAATGATCATTGTTATAAAAATATATTAGTTTGAAATCCTATATTGCTAATTTGTATTTAATCTTTTTTTCCCAAACTACACTAACATATGTTTAGCTGAATGTTTTGCAGTAGTTTGGTTTTATATCATATAATGTAGAAAGTATTTAATTATGTGAGGATATACAAAATAAACTTATATATTCTGCTTCACATTTTATCTGCCAATTGTAAATATAATTTGTAATAAAAATTCATAAGCCTTATGCATTACAATTTCTACCACTATATGAAAATTCAAGGTTTGCACAAAGTAAAAAAAAAAGGGGGGGGGTTTAACATGATATTTACTGTATGGTATAAATATTTTTATCTTCTAGAAAGTATATATTATGAAATGTTGAGCCTTTACATTATCAAACTGTTAATAAACTTGAAATCATGTCATTGCTAGAGCTAAGGTTTTTTGTTTTGTTTTGTTTTTAGCATGATGTGTGTGGTATGCCTTAGAAGGATAGAGAAAAGCTAAAGCTAAGAATAATAGCTACTTTGAGAAAGTTGTGTTCTAACAACCAAGGTTGAAGTGAGTTATCTGACAGCTACAGAATGTTTCACTGTTTTGGCTTTGAAAATATTTACCTTACAATTCAATGGCATTATGGAACTATCAAAGAACCAGCTATTTCTCCTGAGTGTGCATTAGAACACATGGGGGGAGAGGGTAGAGTGTGAGAGTCAAACAATTTGGGAAATTATGTTCTCATAATTTGGAAAGTGATCCTTCAAGACTTTTTGCTAAAATTAGTTAAGATCATTAATTTCAAGGTTTATTCCCCACTTTTTTTTTTCTTTTAAAGTTCAGGGTAGTTAGCAATTTGGGGAAACATCTGCATTTGAAACCCACTATCCTGTAACAAAATTTCCACTGTTTATGAGAATCTTGCAGAAGCTTTTTAAAAGGATTTTCCACTATTTTATTATTACAGATAAAAAATTCATTATTGCAAATGCCAGAGTGCAGAACTGTGCCATCATCTACTGCAACGATGGATTCTGCGAGATGACCGGTTTCTCCAGGCCAGATGTCATGCAGAAGCCTTGCACCTGTGACTTTCTCCATGGGCCTGAGACCAAGAGGCATGATATTGCCCAAATTGCCCAAGCATTGCTCGGATCAGAGGAGAGAAAAGTGGAGGTTACCTACTATCACAAAAACGGTAATGTTCACCCATCTAGGACTCCTCATATTAGGTTCTATTGAAGGGAAATTTTGACAACTGATTGCTGAAAGTTCCTATATGGTGATGCCTCAACTATGTAAATAGTGGATGTATGATTTGTTTAAAGTATTGTAGGATCCATGAGTGGACCAGTGGAAAATATTTCTTCTTTAAAGAAGGGTACTCTATATTTGAACTCTTACAAAGTGCAATAACCCAGTGTTACTGGGTACAAAAATGTCACAAATTATTCTTACCTTTTCCCCCTCTAAGAAATAACATAAAGACTAATAGTTTACTGCTTGCTTTGATATGTGTTTGCTAGGAGAGAAATGCCAAGAGTTGCTTGAATTTTAAAATATTCTATGAAGAAAGTCTTATTGAAAGCTGTTTATTTGTAACTAGAACAATTACGGTTATATCATAAATGTTTCTTGGATACTCTGCTTTATTTGATAGACAATGCCTCTTGTTTCTTTTCCTGATTTTTATGCAAGATTAAGGATGACATATAGAGAGAGGCTCTTGAAATTGATCCAATAACTTTATGTATGTTCAAATAATAGGTTGCTTATACATTCAAGATTTGTCCTAAAATGAGAAATGGAGAAAAGGAACCATAGAATTATTAGTATTTACTTTTACAGCTCAAACAAAACTAGAATTTCATATTTTAAGGTCAGGCCACAAGCTTAATGACACTATTGCTTCTTTCAAACTTGTAAGAGCATAAGTACTGTAAAAGATTAAAAAAAACACACTTTTAATGGACACAAGTGCAGTAAATATACTATATGCAAAAATCTTATATATATGAAATATCTAGATGCAGGTTCCCCTGCTGTTTGAAAGTTCACTTGTAGCCCACTTCACTTATATGAAAGACTTAACATTAGTACCTGTTTTTGCTAACCAAAAGAAATCCAAGAAGGATTTTCATTTTTATGAAAAAAGGTGACAAGTGAAATTAGTGTCTAGCATTTGCTTTTCAGGGAACATTAAAGAGGCAGCGCTTATCCTCAGCGCTGGTGTTTTCCCAGTTCCTTCCCTAGTAGCTACACTCAACATCTCAGGACCTAGTTACCATAGCTTTGAACTGTATCTGTAAACACTATTATGTTAATGTTATTTTAGGTGTTATGTATTATTATTTGGTATGATTTGGTAGGCTAGTTTTTGGGTCTGGGAATACTCCAAAATTTTTCTCATGTAAGTTAATGGTAATTTTGCCTTCTCTTTACGCCATTTTGATTTACAAAAGGTTTCGGAGTAATGCTATAACTTTTGGATATAGTGAGGGAAACTATATAGAGGGGGAAACTGTATTTGTAGAAATATTCTCAAAGGTGTACACTTAATGACATTTGAAAATTTAGGGCTGAAAATATCTGTTTTGTTCTTCTTGATTGACAGAAATTAGTGAGAAAGTTGGTCATCTGTCCAGATTCTGAAAGCTCTTAGGGTTATTATAAATATGTGATGTGCTATAGCTTAGACCATATAATAACTCTTCATTTGCTAAGCTACAGAGGGAAAAAAATCTAGCAGGGAAAAAGTTTGAGTCTTCCTCCTATTTTCTAATAATTCAGTGTTTCATGACCTAGAATTATGAGGGGCTTCAAAACGGATCACAAAAAAATAAAATTTAAAGGTAATAGAATGTTTCCATGAACTTTTTGAAGCTCCCCCCATAATTAACTGATTTTCCTTAAAATCAACTGAAGTATGTATGTGCAACAAAGTATTATTGGAAACAAGCATATCTGTGCAACTTTATATTAATCTGGAATACAAACAGTTATATGATCATGAAACAGCATAGAGAATTGCTTTTAAAGTTGTTTTCAATGTTTTTTTTCAACTTTCAATCAGTAGTGTTGGCATACTAGAAATAGAGTAATTGGTCCATTGTCTTGAAAACATTTGTTGGACTGAAGCTCTCATAAGCAAATACAACTCATCTCTTTTGTGTCTTCGATGCCAACAGCCAGAACTTTGGAAATCATTTGAATGTCTGAGTTATTTTTTTCCCATCTGAATATTTAGCATGATGTTGGTACAGCCTGTATCATGGTTACTGCAGGGAATGTTGGTACATGATTGGTCATTATTTTTGGGCAGGCCATTTCAGAATTTTTTTTTTTTTTTCAACTTACATAATTGAAATAGAAAATGATCCTGGACTCACCAAATCAAATGTTGTTGTTGTTGTTAAGTGCCGTCGAGTCGGTTCCGACCCATAGCGACCCTGTACAGGGTTTCCGAGGGTGTAAATCTTTACGGGAGTAGAAAGCCTCATCTTTCTCCCGCGGAGCGACTGGTAGTTTCGAACCGCTGACCTTAAGGTTCGCAGCCCGATTCGTAACCACTACGCTACCAGAGCTCCTTTAGATGTAACTATATTTCTCAGACAGTGTTTTCATATGGAAGTTGGGTTTGTCACACTGTGGAAGTAATTAATGGTAGTGATTTGAGAGCTGGTTAACTTGTATACTGCGAGTATGTAGAATTATCTCAAAGCACATAAAAAAGAAATGCAATGTGAAATCACAAGCATGAGTGTAAAGAAATCTGTAGTGAAGATGTTAGTGGATTGACAATGTAAATTTTCCTATCTGAGTGATTTTCTTGGTTATACAAATTAAATTTTCCCTATTTTCAGACAAGACATTCTTATTTTCAAGTTTGTTGAGATATGGAAATATACTCATTTGGCAACAATTATTTCTGTTGGCCTCATTTTCAGATGTGATTTAGTCAACAAGGACTTGGATACCTTCAGAGTTAATGACAATCTCTGTTTACTTAGTTTTGATGTATATGGGAAATGAGGTGATGGAATAAGTTTTTTTACAATGCAAAAGAGTAATTTGAATGACTTTTTTTAGATTATGAAGATACAATCTTGCTTATTTGCTTTGAATGTAATCATTGTGTGCTTTTGCAACGTGTACAGCCTCGGAAACCCTGTACAGGGTCGCTATGAGTCGGAACCGACTCCACGACACATAACAACAACAACAACAACAGGTCCCTTGAATAGTCTCTTCAGAGAATGGTGGTTTTATTCCTGTGTTGTTGTTGTTGAATGTTGTAGAGTGGGTTCCGACTCATAGTGACCCTGTATAGGGTTCCCGAGGAGCAGCTGGTGAGTTTAAACTGCCGATACTACGATTCAAACAATCTGGCGGGCCAGTGCTTACCCTATGGAGCCACAAAGTGCGAAGTTAGTTCTGACTCATAGCGACACTGTATAGGTTTTCCCTGAACAGACTCATGGGGTTGAACCACTGACTTTTGATTGGCAGTCCAGTGCTTATTCTGCAGTGCCACAACAGGATTCCAACAGCAAAATCAGCCAGAGCTTGTGAAGGTCAAATGCTTTCAAAATCTTGCCTATTGAAGACCTTCTAACCAGCTCTGGCCAGAGTCCTGGTGTGGCGCTGTGGGTTAATGCACCAGACTGCAAGGTCGGCAGTTCAAGCTCACCAGCTGCTCTTTGGAAACCCTATACAGGGTCACTATGGGTCAGAACCGGCTCAGTGGACAGGTGGCAGCAGCGATGGACGCAAGCGTGGCAACAATAGTGAGGCTGGCCCAGGATCAGGCAGTGTTTCGTTCTACTGTGCATAGGTTTGCTAAGAGTCGGTAACGACTCGATGGCACCTAACAACAACCGCTCTACAAGGAGCTCTGGTAGCTAAGTGGTTGCTAGTCGGCCGCTAACCTCAAGGTCATCAGCAGTTCGAAAGGACCAGCGGTTCCGCGGGAGAAAGATGAGGCTTTCTGCTCCTTTAAAGATTTACAGCCTCGGAAACCCTTTGCAGGGGTCACTATGAGTAGGAATCGACTCCACGGCACACCACCACCAGCCTCTCTACGGAGTCCTGATGTGGCGTTGTGGGTTAATGTGCTGGACTGCAAAGTCGGTTTGAAATGCAATGTAGGTGGTTCAAGCTCACCAGCTATTCCTCAGAAACCCTATACGGGTTGCTGTGGGTGGGAACCCACTCAACAGCACTTAACAGCAACAACAACCTCTTTATAGAGTCCTGGTGTGGCATTGTAGGATAAACGTTGTTTCACTCCTTGGAAACCCTATACAGGGTCACTCTGAGTTGAAATTGACTCGATGACACTTAACAACAGCAACAAAAACCTCTCTATATTTATAAACGCAGGAAGAGAAAACCAATCATGCAAATTTCCATTGACTTGTTTCTCAAGTTTCCCTTAATTCTGAGTTATTGAGGTCATTTGCTCCTAGGAGGTTTTTAGTTTCTTAAGTGAATACAGCAAATGTTTCCTTTATTTATATTTTATTTAGCATTTCACAGGAATATGAGAAATGATATAATTAGCACAATGAGCAAGTTAAAAAAGTTGAGATAATTCTGTTTCCATTTTTTCCCATTCAGTGATACTGGAATAACAAAAGTATAGACAAGACATTATTCTCAAAACTTGTTTTTCAGTGGGACTCAGGTTTTGTAAGCACTTTAAATCCACGATCTATGCAATGTGTTCACACTGATGCAGTGCACAGTGAGCTGCATGAGCACTATTGTGATTCGTCGCTTCTTACCATGCCCCTGTTATGTGATTTTACTAGGTACAATTGTTGTTTATCAGAATGCCAATTTCTAAAACCAATTTATCTGCAGTAGGCATATTTGACAGCTCTTGTGTAGAGGATTCCATTCTACATTTAAAATCATTATTGCATAAATCATTCTTGGCAACTGTGTACTATTACTTGAGGTAATAAAGTTGTAAATCTTTAGCATAAAGCTCTAATTATACAAAACTATAATTTTACTGGGGCTTTATATAAGATGTTTTTGTTAAATGCCGTCGAGTCAATTCCCACCCATAGCGACCCTGTACAGGGTTTCCGAAGAGCAGCTGGAGAGCTTGAACCGCCGACCTTGCAGTACAAATGGCTTTGCAGTCTGGCACAATAACCCACAGCTCCAATAATGTGGTTCCTGTTTAGT